TGAATTTTCCTCTTAGTACTGCTTTCATAGTGTCCCAGAGATTTCAATATGTTATGTCTGAGTTTTCATTTACCTCTAAGAATTTTTTAATTTCCTCTTTGATGTCTTCTGTAACCCTTTGTTCATTCAGTAGCATATTGTTTATTCTCCATGTGATGTAGGATTTTTTCTTTCCTATTTTATTATTGATTTCCAATTTCATTCCATTATGATCAGATGAAATTGCTTGGTAGTATCTCTACTCCTTTGTATTTGCTAAGGTTTGCCCTGTGACATAATATATGGTCTATTTTTGAGAAGGATCCATGTGCTGCTGAGAAGAAAGTGTATCCGCTTGATGTTGGGTGCTATATTCTGTATAAGTCAATTAAGTCTAAGTTATTAATTGTATTATTGAGCTCTAGGATTTCTTTATTCAACTTTTGTTTGGAAGATCTTCCAGTGGTGAGAGAGGTGTGTTAAAATCTCCCATGATTATTGTGTTGTGGTCTATTTGACTCTTGAACTTGAGAAGAGTTTGTTCGATGAATGTAGCTGCACCATTGTTTGGGACATATATATTAATGATCATTAAGTCTTGTTGGTGTATTAATGTTTTTATATTAACCAAGTTTAGCTTTTAAAGACATAGCACAATTTTCTAAAATAACAGTTCTTGTTTAATCAGCTGTTTAATTCCTTTAAGATTACTTACTTTAGAAACAAGAAACAAAACTTAATAAAACACAATGTTATGAGAAATCTTTGTCTTTTTAACTTATGACTGTAAAGACAAACTTACAAACGTACACAGACCTTTTTTTATCACTTACTTAAACCTATATAGCCAACATACACAGACCTGCTTTATCACTTACTTAAACTCTCTTATTTACTTAATCACATAGACTCTCTTATCCAGAAACACATTTTCCTTCTATTAAAATCCATACCTAGAACCTTCTAATTTCCCTTTTCCGTCTGTTAACCTCCTTTTCTGTTCACATTTTGAAACAATCCTTGTAAATTTCTGAATTTAGGCAGATTATTTCATAGACATCCACATTTTATTAGTTTTTTTGGGGGGGCACCTAGAAAAACTTGTAAGCTTAATTTTAAAAACATCTTTATTTTCATCTGTTTACCCAATTTAAATTGAACTGTTTAAATCACGTGAATCAAAGATATTTGGATCCACTTTTTTTTAATTTTCATGAGCGCTCTATATATCTGCCAATTTTCATAAAGACATCATTATTTTTATCTGTTTACAGCACATAACACTAGTGTGCACACATAACACAATAGTAAAGGCCTTGTAGCTTTTCGCAGGTGAAATCTCCACTGCAATGTTTAAAGACTCCACAGTTGATATCAACACATTATTGCCCATGTCTTAAAAGGCCAGAAACAGATACAGACAGACACAATGACAGATAGACAGAAAGGAGCTCCAGACTACGGCTGACAGACAGGAACTTTTAAAACAGACCAGATAAGAGAAAAATCTCCCCAAGTTTCTAACTCCCATTTAGTTATGACTCCTACACCAGTGGCACCATAGATATCGACACTAGTGGACCAGATATTCTCACAGAGGGACAACCAGAAGTGTAACATCAAGGGTCTCAGTGTGGCGATTTTACTGCATTCAGTGTCCCTCCCGCGCTTTTTTTTAAAGTAGACAGAGATGGAGCAATCTTTACAGTGCAGAGAAGGAAGAGGGAGTTCCCCGAAGCAAAAGGGGCTTCGGCAGCTGCTGGGAGTCCCTCAGTCCCTCCTTTTACTTACAGGATTAGTTCCTCTGGTTAGGTCCAATCCCAGGCACGCTGCATTATCTCCTTTCCAGTAGTCAGCTGTCAAAAGTTAATCCTCCGCATGCAGTTGTTTGAAGTGCTAGGCCTTCCCAAGAAAGCAGAGCGGGGTCTCCTCCAGAGTCCCCTCTGGGGTGCCAAAATTTGTGACTGAAAGTTTGGTTCCTGGGGCTGGGGATGTGGCTCAAGCGGTAGCGCGCTCGCCTGGCATGCGTGCGGCCCGGGTTCGATCCTCAGCACCACATACCAACAAAGATGTTGTGTCCGCCGAGAACTAAGAAATAAATATTAAAAATTCTCTCTCTCTCTCTCTCTCTCTCTCTCTCTCTCTCTCTCTCTCTCTCTCTCTCTCTCTCTCCTCTCTCACTCTCTCTTTAAAAAAAAAAAAAAAGTTTGGTTCCTATCCTCGAAGCCAATTAATGCCAATTTAATAATGAGGACAATGTTTTGAGAAAAAGCAAAAGGGAGATTGATCAAAGTTCTTAGATCCCCAGAAGGCATTTCCCTCTGCAGTGGGTGCACTCAAGCCAACTACGGGAAGAAAACATTGCTTCCCTAATCCCATTTAACAAAGTGGAGTAAAGTTTATCAAAGTTTTTTAAAACACAGCTCAAAGGGGTGTAAAGGGTGAGAACAAAAAAGCTGGCAATTCTATTGACTTTTGGTCCCTTTCAGGGAAGCAGGAGAAGCATCCCAGGGACATTTTCAGGCTAAAATTTAGCTAAAGTTACCTCCACACATCTAAGGCAGATCGGAACTTGGGACACTGCATCTGTCCAAAGTAAAACAATGCTATCACACTTAACAGAGACACAGACAAAAAGACACAGATTCCCTTTTCAGATTGTCGACAAAAACGAAAGTGGGGTGCTGGCCCTAAGCCAACTGGGGCCTTCCTCTCAGACAAACAGATTGGGGGAGTATCCCCCTCAGATTGGGTCTGACAACCTCAGATTGGGGATTAGTTCCCTGCTGGGTAGCTTCATAGTACTTACACACTGGTTTCCAGAATCATATAAGAGACCCTTTAATAAGATGCACTTTCATGGGCCTCAGACCAAAGGTTCAGAATCACACTTCCTGGAAGGCCGTGTTGTTTTTCAGTTGGTTTGGGGCTACTGAGGCTGGGTTAATGGAGAGAGACTAATAGACTTAATAGCTTCCTTCCCTACCGGCCCCTTTGCATGAAAAAAGCAGCAGGTAGATGGGATACTCTGAATGAAAGATGATATTTTGAAATTGTTAATTCATTGATTTCTGAATCAAAGTCAGAGACTATAGGGGGGGGGAAACAGGTGTGTAGCTCATCTATGTATCTATTATGTTTCTACAGCATCGAACTCTAATGGAAGAGTTAAATCGCAGTAAGAAGGATTTTGAAACAATCATCCAAGCTAAGAACAAAGAATTGGAGCAGACCAAGGTACTGGAAAGAAGATGGAGGTTTAGAATTTGGTTAGTACATGCAACTCAGCATTTTCAACAGTGCAAGGGTTGCTATGGTGAATGAGAGAGATTGTGGCTGCTCCGAGCCTCGGGGGAAATAATCTGTAAAATTATTCAGGCCTGTAGAGGACTCTGCTTGCAAGACAACATCTAATTCTTTCCCTTGTTTAGAAGCTAAGTGCTGGGAATGAGGCACTTGCACCCTGCATTCTAGTCCTTTCTGAATGATGGGTGCTCCTTCAGGGTATGGTGAATGCAGACTAAGGAGTATTATAATCAAAATTAAAAAATAGTTCATCTTGATGCATTTATGCAATTCCTTCCCTCAGTGAATCGGTAGAACTCTTAAATCGGGTTATAAACCTAAGTGCCTACCATGGCCAGTAATAAAAGTGAACAAAGGGGCCTGAGTATAAAAAACATGGTAGGGATTGCTGAGGACTGTGGTACTCGCCTTCCACACAAACTGATGAGTCAGCTCTTTGCTCAGTCATTTGTAGCTGTCCAGAAATGCAGGTTGGTGTTGTCATATATTTGGTTTTTCCACAGGAGATGGAAATCCAGATGTTTGTATAAAGTACCCCAGTTTTCAAACATTGGCCACAAATATTTTTTGTTTTTATTTATTTTGTATTATTTATTTATTTTTTGTTGGTACTGGTAATTGAACCCAGAGGTGCTTTGCCACTGAACTGCATCCCCAGTCTTTTTTGTTTTTTAATTTGAGCCAGGGTCTTGCTAAATTGTGAGAGTTTCACTAAGTTGCTGAGACTGGCCTTGAACTTGCAATCCTCCTACCTCAGCCTCTCAAGTTGCTGGGGTTATAGGCATGTCCCATCATGTCTGGCACAGTTTTAAATTTTTTAACTGATGCATAAAACCATAGAAATTGTACATATTTAAGAGATTCTACATGACGTTTCAATACACATACAAGTTTAGGGTTTTTATACGTGCTTTTTAATACCATGAAGACCAAGCTAAACAAGTCTGCAGGATAGATTCAATCCACAGGTTACCAGTTTAAAACCTTGAAATGAATACCTGACTGCATCCCTTCCTACTCCACATACAGACCTGAAGCTGAGTGCAGAAGAAAGAGACTCTTTTTCTTCAGTTGACTTGATATCCGTGTCCTGTATTCAAATCACCTAGTATCTTCTTCCCCAACTTCCAAGAAACCACCATATCTTTTTTTTTTCTTTATTGTGGTGCTGGGGATTAAACCCAGGACCTTGTACATGCTAGGCAAACACTCTACCACTGAACTACATCCCCCAATCCCTGTGCTCTTAAGTTTTTAGGGAATTTTATTCTAATTAGAAATGGGTCCAGAATTTCTTCACTTCCTTAAGTAACCTGACAGTCTTTGCTTTGATTGGAAGAGAAAATAAAAGATGAAAAAAGAACCAGTTACTCAAATATACTCCAAATGGCTTTTTCTTTCCTCCCCAGGGGCTCTTGTTGCTTTTGTTTGAGGGGATGAGTTAACTGTCTTAAATGTATCAAAAGAGCATGCCTAGAGCTGGGCATGATGGGGCACACCTGTAATCCAAGTGGCTTGGGAGGTTGAGGCAGGAGGATTGTGAGTTCAAAACCAGCCTCAGCAAAAGTGAGGTGCTAAGCAACTCAGGGAGACCCTGTCTCTAAATAAAATACAAAATAGGGCTGGGATTGTGACTCAGTGGTTGAGTGCCCCTGAGTCCAATCCCTGATACCCCTTCCTCCCCCCCCCCCAAAAAAAAACACAGGGAAATTATCTTAGAGACCTCTACAAGTGTGGGGAGTGGCAAGCATCATAGAGCTTGGAGCCTGAAAGTATTTTAGGAGGCCATCTCTCCTGCCTTCTGCCTTCAGAAAATATAGATATTATCCTTATAATCATGCAGATACTGAAAAAGAAAATAGTGTTTTAGTCCACTCAGGCTGCTATAATAAAATACCATAAACTGGATAGCTTGTAAACAACAGAAATGTATTTTTCACGTTCTACAGGCTGAGAAGTCCAAGACCAAGGTTCTTGACCAATCTGCCAGATTCAGTGTGGGGAAGGTCTACTTTCTGGTTAACAGATGATATCTTCCTCAAATGGTAGAAAAGGAGAACACATTTCCTTGAACCTCATTTATAAAACGGCTAATCCCATTCATGAGAGCAGAGGCCTCATGACCTAGTTCCCTCCCAAAGATTCTACTTCTTAATACCATCATATAGGGGATAGGTTTCAACATGTGAATTTTGGAGCGATATAGACAATTTAGGAAAAAAATTATTTATATGTGGTGCTGAGAATCAAACCCAGTGCTTCATACATGCTAGGCAAGTGGGGTACCACTGAGCTACAAACCCAGCCCCGAGACATTTAGACCATAGCAAATAGGAGAGGAAAGAAAGGGAGTTAGTTACCGCTTTGTGTTAGAAAGCAATTCTTGAGAAACAGTAACTCATAGGAAAGAGTTTTATTCTCATGTGGCTGCACCAGAATGAATTTTAATTTAGACTCCTCCTGAGTCGTACTTTAGTCAACGAACCTTGCCCCATGTCCTGTTATACATTCTTGTCGGTTTTTCCAAATGACAGATGGTATTGTGTATCTTTGCAGGAAGAAAAAGAGAAGGTGCAAGCACAGAAGGAGGAAGTGCTTAGCCACATGAATGACGTGCTAGAGAATGAGCTCCAGTGTATTATTTGTTCAGAATACTTCGTCGAGGTAACGATGAGCTGTGGCTCACCCCTTCCCATCCCTCCAGCCCTGAGTGGAACATGGACTATGCGGCCTCCTTCTGCTAAAGGGAAACATTTTGAAGAGATTTTTTTTTCTCTCAGGAATTTATAACTGTTTGATTTCAAAGTGACATCTAGAGATGGCTGCTTATTTGATTTTGTAGTTGTCTTTCCCTTCACTAACCTTTTTTGTATTTATCCTTGAATAATTATTATTATAGTTAACGCTCTTGGCAGAAATAAAGCCTTATCTCTTTGTGGTGAGGGAGGGGAAAACAGGGCCACATTACAATTTCAAACAGGACATAGCTGCTCAATAAAGCTTGCTTGGGCTGGAGCTAGAGCTCAGTGGTAAAGTGCTTGCCTTGCATGCGTGAGGCACTAGGTTCGATCCTCAGCACCACATAAAAATAAAGATATTGTGTGTTCATCTACAACTAAAAAAAAAAGTATTAAAAAAAATAATAAAGCTTGCTTTACTCCGAATGAGCACAATGCTAAGAGTAGGCTTGTGATGCCAACTTTTTTTTTTTTTAGTTGTAGTTGGACACAATACTTTTAATTCCATTCATTTATTTTTATGTGGTGCTGAGGATCGAACCCAGGGCCCTGCGCATGCTAGGCGAGCGCTCTATCAATGAGCCACAATCCCAGCCTATAATGCCACCTTTTAAACAAGGTGGTAAATGTCGTTGATATGTGGTCACTTTGGGAATTCAGGGGCTAAAGTGAATACACTTCAGGAATCTGAAGCTCCTTTTGAAAATGAAACCTCACTCTCCAAGGCTATCATTTGTTCTGTCATATTTTTGCATCATCTCTTTCTGGTTTCATAAATTTCTGCCATTTGTGACCAGTTCCTGTTAGACTACAAATGTCATAATCAGGTTGTTAAATGCCACTTCTTTTTAGACTAGTATATAGTGGTACTCACCTGAATCCCAATGACCCAGGAGATTGAAGTGGGAGGTTTGCAGGTTGGAGGCCAGCCTCAGTAATTTAGCAAGACCCTTAGCAATTTAGAGAGACCCTATCTTAAAATTAAAAAGGCTGGGGATATAGCTCAGTGGTAAAGCATCCCTAGCTTCAATTCCCAGTACCAAAATAAATAAATAGGAAACACATATGTACACTGCTTTATTTTCCCAGGCAGTCTTTGCAGAGGTAGGATCTATCAGGTTCCTGAAAATATCTCTCCTGAGGAGACCAGTTTCTTTAGTCTGGATCCACTTTGACTTCAGGTCATAATTTTCCCCACACTTTCTAGTTAGATGATTCCCTACTTTGGGGAAACTCAGTGTTGTATTGACAGGGCTTATGGACACCAGTGGAGGAAGAGGAAAGGGAGGTTGGAATGGGTGATGTGTCAGCTAATCTGGAGCATCTTCAGAGTCAGAGGAAAGACAAATAACTTGGCTTGGTTTGTATTTACACCATATTGCCTGACTTACTCTTCTGATCATTTCCTCCTGCCTCTTTCTCTTTTTTGCCATGGTTGGGATCGACTCAGGGCCTGGGCACAGTAAGTAGATGTTTTACCACTGAATCATATTTTTAGTCCTACTGGTCACCTTTGGGTTTTTTTTTTGTTTTTTTTTTTTTAACCTGGGATTGAACCCAGGGGTGCTTAACCACTGAGACACTTCCCCAGCCTCCCCTCCTTTTATTAAATTTAGAGACAGGGTCTCACAGAGTTGCTGAGTCCAGCTTTGAACTCCGCTTCCTGAGTTGCTGGGATTACAGCAAGACATGATTTTGCTTTTTAAAAGGGAATTAATAATGTATTTGAATCAAAGCATTCACACACCTTCTACTTATGTCCAGTGATATCTGTTTGCAAGTGGCTGATCTTTCTGGCAGTGGTGGAACTTGGTTTGTGGAACAAAACAGGCAAATCAGCATACATGAGACCTGAATATGTGACTTTGATCAAGTCTAGGACCTTAACTGAGTTTATGGCCTTTGAGAAAGGAGGAAATGAATTGTCTAATAAGAAGTTTAAAATTTTCCATCACCAAGGATGATTCTAATACCCCTTGTAAGCCTTCCAGATAGAACTGTAGCCCACTTTCCTTTTGGCCTTGGAAACTAGCTTTGAGAAAGTAAGCATAACAAGTGTGATTCGTATCTTCCCATTCCATCGTAGGCGGTCACCTTGAACTGTGCCCACAGTTTCTGCTCCTACTGTATCAATGAATGGATGAAGCGGAAGATAGAATGCCCCATTTGTCGGAAGGACATTGAGTCCAAAACCCATTCCCTGGTTCTGGACAATTGCATTAATAAGATGGTGGATAATCTGAGCTCAGAAGTGAAAGAACGACGAATTGTCCTCATTAGAGAACGAAAAGGTGAGTGGTTCTGAGAATCCCTGTCCCTCAACAGAGGACCTATTTACTTCTTAACGCCAACAGATGGTTGTTATTGTTGAAGAAAAGAGAGCGGTAGGTAGAATTCTTGAACTAAGGACAAAGGTAGAAGAAATGCAAAAGAATAAAGGAAGTTCAGATAATTGAATGAGAAAGAGTTAAGGCAGAAGTAACCTCTGCTGTTTGAACATTGGAGAAGTGAAAAACTTAGGTAATTGTTCCTTGGTGGTGAAATTAGAGAAAAAGAGATCTGGTTAGAAAACAGATCATTTGCTGCACTGGAGGTGCTGTTGAGTTGCGTCCAGGGGTTGCAAAATCCTTGAGTTGTGTGGACAGTTTCAAGTAGAATGTGTGTAAGTCACAGATTCACAGCTTGAAGAATGCCCAAAGAAAACACATACTGGACTTATCCATAAGAATCACAGCTTAATTAGACAAATTGGATATAATGTTAAGCTAAAGAGATGTAAATATAATCTTGCCGCGTGTGATGGCACACACTTGTAATCCCAGCAGCTCAGAAGGTTGAGACAGAAAGATTGCAACTCAGCAGGACCTTGGCTCAAAAATATAAAACGGGGCCAGGGTTGTGGCTCAGTGATAGAGCCCTTGCCTAGTATGCATAAGGCACTGGGTTCGATCCCTGGCACCACATAAAAAAACAAAAGCAGGGCTGGGGTTGTGGTGTGTGCCATTGCACCCGGCTCACTTATTCTTTAGGACCAGTGTTTCCCACTGATACCTCTGTGCTGTTGCTGTTTGATCCCCCCCAGGTTTTTATCTCCAAGGTCCATGTGATTTTCCCTTGCTCTTCCTTCTTGCTTCCTATCCCCCACTCCCCTAGAGCACTCACCTAGTATGTGTGAGGCACTGGATTCGATCCTCAGCACTACATAAAAATAAATAAAATAAAGATATTATGTCCAACTACAATTTAAATTTTTTAAAAATATATAAATAAACTGCTGAAGGAATAGCACAGTGGCAAAGTGCCCCTGGATTAAATCCCTAGAACCAAAGGAATAAAAAATATACAAATATAATCCTGCAGTTAATCTGGGGATCCAGCAAGTATCACAGTCAGAGGGAGTTTGGATAAAGAGTTGGGGAAGGGATGAGTAAGTTTCCTGAATGAACTATGCTTCTGTAGAGAATAGCTGCTCATTTAATTGTTGTCACCACACTTGGAGCCTGTAGAGAATAGCTGCTCATTTAATTGTTGTCACCACACTTGGAGCCTGTTGTTAAGGGCTGCAGAGAGCCTCTGTGCTTGAGACTTGCAGGACTCTGGATCAAGAATGTCTAGGCTCCGAACACAAGGATTGCTTATTGAATAAGAATCCATTGTGCATTAAAATAGCATAGATGTGATTATCATGTTCAGTCCCTTAAATAGTCCAGCACTACCTCCTGGGACAGCTTCAGAGCTAAAGTGCTGTGATGTCAATTGGCTCCCTGTAATAGGTCCACCAGAGCCTGGGAGCTCACTGCCCTTACACCTACCACCTGGCCATTTGAAGCCCGTGTTCATGAAGTTCTTGGTTGTACCTTTCTTGAAGTCTGGAGAAGCTGGAAGATCTTAGAGGCCAAACTGCTAAGAATAGAAGCTTCCGGTCACTGCTTTCTTTTCTCTAGCCCTTCAACAGATGTTAGCCATTTTGAGTCAGGCCAAGAATCTGACCCTGATTTTCAAGCACTTATGGTATGAAATTGGCCTTGGTTGGTTAGCCAGAGTAGATCCCAGCAAGCTCAGCACAGAGCTGAGGACTGTGAGTGTACCTGAGCTAGGTGTGCCCAAGGAAGATATTCTGACCTGTGGAGGTTGGGGTGAACTTCATTCATTCTTGTTTTTTTGGTGGAGGGTGGGGTTATCAGGGATTGAACTCAGGAGCACTCAACCGTTGAGCCACACCCCTAGCCCTATTTTGTATTTTATTTAGAGACAGGGTCTCACTGAGTTGCTTAGCACCTCGCTTTTGCTGAGGCTGGCTTTGAACTTTTTCCTGCCTCAGCTTTCCAAACTGCTGGGACTATAGGCATGTGCCACTGCGCCCGGCTTGCTCATTCTTTAGAACCAGTGTTTCCCACTGATACCTCTGTGCTGTTGCTATTTGATCCCCCCCCCCCCCAGGTTTTTATCTCCAAGGTCCATGTGATTTTCCCTTGCCCTTCCTTTTTTGCTTCCTATCCCCCACAGGACCACTGTATTAAACATCAGGATAAAGAGATAATAAGGCCTCATCTCAAGCCTCATAGCACTCACTGGTGGAGGAGATAAAGGCCGTAGACAGGGCAGTGAATTCCACAGCAAGTTGCTGTGAAAATTCAGGGAGGGGGCCACGTAATTTGGCCTGGGCAGGTGGAGGTCTGAGAAGCTCCACAGAGGATATGACTTTTGAACTGAGCCTTAAAGGTTCCCTAGGGGATTTGTTTTCCAAGCAGAGGAAACTGCACAAGCAAAACAAAGAGGCATGAGAAAGGTGTGACCTGTCTCCCACCCCTGCCTCATGTGTCCATATGAGACAGTATTTACATGGTGCTAGTCTTACAGGACAGCCAAGGCTTAGGAAGTATCTACTCAGGCCAGAAAAATACTTTCTTTTTTCTTCCCTCTTTGCCATGCCCTGGGAATCCAAATTTAATTAGAATTAGGTAATGACCTTTGACATATGAAGTATGCTGGTTGTTGCCTAGGTGGGGACACCCATGTGCATTCTTGGCCTGGCCTGCTGCCTAGGTTCCTTCTCACAGTCCAAGCACTGTAGATGACTTCATGAAGCATTGGGAAGGGAAGGAAGAGCCCCATATTCTATGTCCACCTCTGTTTCCCTTACACAGTTCATTATGCAGAGAAAGCACCAAATCCCGCTTTTCTCTCGAGAGGTTACCTCTTGCCCTTTCTGGTAACCGTAGGGACTACACAGGAAACAGAAACAGCCTCTCCTATTGCATGCGCTTGCTGAGAACAGTTCTGGCAACCATCTCAGTTTCTGTAGTTATCACAGTGAATGCAGCTTTGAGGTTTTCTCTAGAGATAGAAGTTTCTAAAACCTTATTTAGGGAAAGATGTGCCAAAGGCAGCTTCATGGGGCTGCAGTATGGAGTTTAGAGAAAATTCTCAGTTCAAATACCAATCCTCCTTGCATGTTCTAGGGCCAGTTGAAAGCTGATTTAATCCTTTGTGCATGGGAATTTTTTAAATGGATCAAATTTAGGATCTAGAAACTCGATTGGCAAATGTTTGGTGTTATTAGTTCTTACTTTGTGGCAGGACCCTGGGCGGGGTTGCTCTCACCCATGGACTGCCCGGGCTGACAGCCTGTGCTTCGGTTTCACAGCCCTTTCTCCCTTAACACCAGAATGTTGGTTTGAGGCTACTGGTGAGAGTGCACTTCGACCTTTGTGAACTACAGAGTGAACCACACCCTTTATGACTCTGTGAGACAGAGGCTCCTCCAGAGTTGGGGATTTCTGGAAAGATGCACCTGGCCCACAGCTCTGTCCAGGTTGCTGGATGTTAAGAGGAGAGTGGTCCAAACACGGGACAGGAGCAGCTGGCAGAGTCAGACTCTGAAGTATCTTCCTGATCTTGCCCATCCTCCTTTGCTGACATGTTCAGGGAGTGACAGCAATATGGTTATCTGGCAAACTGTACCCACCCAGAGAGAATACTTTAATAGGTCCTTTTAACTTATCTAGTCCTGTTCTGAGGGAATCCAGAATTATATGCATGAAGTATTACTGCCTACCTTGTGTAGGACCTCACTCGCCCAAGAGAAAATGGCTCTCATGCACACACTGAAATAGTGTGTAACATTACTCTAGGAAGTTTTGATTTTTAAAAACGTATCACGGGATAGAAAATGAATGATCTTGTTACTCAAAGGTTTTATTTTTCTAATACTACCCCACCTTTCCCTCTCTGTTCTTTTGTCTGCTATTATCAAAATGGGATCGTCCTCTGTTTAGCTTACTCCCCTTGTCACCCATAACTGACGTCTAGGTATGCAGTGTGATGTGGTAAGGGCATCACAGGAATGTCCTCCCAGTGCTTAGTGGAGGGCAGCTGTGGCATTAATCGGACCATGTGAAACAGCAGCCAGAATCCTAGGACTTCAGATTCCTTGTTGAGGTGTACTCCTTGTGATTCCAGAGCCATCCTTCCATAAGGAGGCCAGATTCCCTGACTTTAGTGCTCAGTGGAGAGGGTCTTTTTCCTTTCACCAAAAGCTACCACTTCCCTGCTAGCCCCTGGAAAAGCCTCCACAGCTCAGGAGAGTGGCTTTCCTGGATACTGTTAACCCTCCTTCATTGAACCCTAAATGCATAGACAGTTGAATTTAAAAAAAATTGAGGGGGGTTATAATTAGTTATACATGACAACGGAATGCATTTCAATTCATTGTACACAAATGGAGCACAACTTTTCATTTCTCTGGTTGTACACGATATAGAGTCACACCAGATGTGCAGTCATACGTGTACCTGGGGTAATGATGTTCGTCTCATTTCACCATCTGTCCTGCCCCCAGTTCCCCTCCCCTTCCATCCCTCTCTTTGGCCCAATCAAAGTTCCTCCATTCTCCCCACAGCACCCTGCCCCCCTTATGGATCAGCATCCACGTATCAGAGAGAGCATTCGGCCTTTGGTTTTTTTGGGATTGGCTTACTTCACTCCAGCTCCATCCATTTCCTGCAAATGCCATGATTTTATTCTCTTTTAATGCTGAGTAATATTCCATTGTGTATATATCTCATCGTTCTTTATCCAATCATCTATTGAAAGGCATCTAGGTTGGCTCCACAGTTTAGTATTATGAATTGTGCAGCTATAAACATCGAAGTGGCTGTAGACAGTTGAATTTGAGGGAACTGTGCCTGGCTAGAGTAGAGAGGTCAAAGGCTGACCTTGACTGCCTGCCCCTTCACCTTTAAATAAGCCCTGCGGAGGCCAGTGCAGGAGAGGGGAGCCTGGAAGCTGCTGGCCCAGAGGGACCCTATTGCTGCCGGGGCAGTAACTTCAGTCCTCAGCCCCTCTTGCCGCTGGGCACAGGCTTTGAGCAGAGGGTGACATGATCCAACTTGTGTTTATCCCTTCCTTTTGGCTGCTGTGGGGAGGAGGGAGAGAACTCGGGCTCCTCCTTATTTCTTTTTTTCTTTCCCAAGCAAAGAGATTGTCCTGAAGACCAGCGTGAAGGACATTTGAAAGACTCCAAGGCGATGGGAACTGGGGATGTTCTTGAGGAATGTCTCTGGGTGTGACTCGGGCCACTCTGGAGGTCATCAGAGAAGCCACATGGGACAGAGACTGAGTTAGGAAGCCCTGCGTCACCCGCCTCCGTGATGGCCAGCTCTGCTGCCATCGTCGTCTGAAGCACTACCAGGACTCACAGCACCAAGTGCTTCAGGGTACTTAACAGACTGCTTCACTACATGTTGGATGGGTTATTTAAGTTGTGTTTTTTGTTTTTGTTTTTTTAATTTGTTGTTGTTGTTTTTGATACCTCAGAAGCACTCAGTTGATGTTCGTTTTGGACAGTTGGGTGTACCTCATGCTGCCCCTAAAGGCAGCCTGTTTTTGACAGTCTAGTTTCTCTCTTCTTTGTGAAAACAAGATGTCATTTCTTGGAAATAAAATGTAAAACCTATCGGTTGCTCAGCTGAGCTTTGGCGTATTTACCTTCCTTCCCTTCCAGCTCCCAGAGAGTCTCACGAGTAAACACTGGCAGCTCATAGATCACAACCAAGAAAGTGACTGTAGCAGATGATAGACTTCAAGTGAATCTCAGCCTGAGAAGCCAAGCCCGAGATCCTGGCCACGCGAGGGGGCCTCTGTCGTGTTCTGTTTTTATTTCAGAGTCTGGTCACTACTTAACTTGTTTTCAGGTTCCTTGCCTTCAGCTGGTGTTCTGAAGACATTTCCATGTCTGTTTTCCCAATGTCATGAACTCAGGGTCAGGGATTTTTCTTTCTTTCTTTCTTTTTTTAATTAAAAAAAGAGTCTCCTTTCTGCTTCCCCCATTTTGTGTGTGGGGTTTTTGGTTTTGTTTTTGGTAGTTGGGATTGAACCCGGGGATGCTTTACCACTGAGCTACATCCCCAGTTATTTTTATTTTTTTCTTTTGAATCAGGGTCTCACTAACTTGCAATCCTCCTGCCTCAGCCTTCTGAGTAGCTGGGATTACAATTGTATACCATCACACCTGGTTCACCTCCCCTTTTTAAACAGAAGAAAAAAAGAATAAAAAAAAAAAACATAGTTTTAATGTTTGGGAGAGAGACGCTTAGGACAGATTGTGGTGTCCTTGGTTACTTGTGATGAGAATGAAGGAAAAACACAGGAAGTTGAAGAGCAGTCATTTGAAGGTAAGGGCCCTCTAGTAGAATTGTGAAACTGCTTGTGTCGTCAAATGGTTTGCTTCCCTCTCACTTTTTACTGTCTAAGAACCTTTCTATTTTGTTTTTTATACAACATGTATTTTCATAAAATGTTGAAAACAATTGACTTGGCAACTTTTTAGGAATGGTGGGAGTGCTTTATTGAATATACCATGAAATTCTGATTCTGGAGTCTCTGGTCTTCTTATCCATCTTTCTGCCCAGAATGACTGATTGAAATGCTGGTAGAGGGCTGGGAATGTGGCTTAGAGGTAGAGCATGTGTTTGCCTAGCATGCCTGAGACCTTGGGTTTGATCCCGCACTGAAAGAAGAAGGAAACCAAAAGAAAGAAATACTGGTAGAGCCAAAGAGGAAATAAGGTTAAACATAGAAAAATTGCATATAAAGTATTTATCATGAACACATCATAAAAATTTGAAAAAAAAAAACAGAACAGGAGAAGATTGTTACCATCTTTATGTAGGGACTTCTTGTTTCTCTGCACGTGTTTGATTGACATGATTGCATGGCTGTGTATTAGTTTTTTTCTATTCTGTTTTAAGTTCACATATTCTCATTGGTTTTTAAGAGGACATATCACATTTTCCGAATAGGTAATATGGTTTTGTGATTTGAAATCAAAAAGGACAAAAGGACACAGAGTGAAAAACTTCTTACTCTTATCCCCAGTGGCCCCTCTCCTCCCTAGAGGCAACAAATATTACAGTTTCTCCTGTACCCTTCCAGAGACCTTCTCTGAATAAACAGGTAACATGTGCATGGTATTTGCCCTTCTTTTACACAGAGGATAAACTCTGTAGTATTCTGTACTTTGCTTTTCTTTCAGATGTAGCTGGCCAGTAGTTCCATGTCAGTACATAAAGGATTTGTTCTTTGTTACTGCTACCTATTATTTCATTGTGTATTTGCCCCATGATTTACTTTTCCAGCCTGTATTTTACTTTTTTTGTATGTGTGCTAGGAAACCATTTCCATTCCTCATGCAGGGTATGCTCTGTCATTGAGCTGACCTCCAGCTCTCCAGTCTATTTCTGATGAAAGTCTGGTTGCTTTTACTCTTAAAACATTGCTATAGTGGACACCGTGCACATCCATCATTAGAGAAAAGACCCTTTAAAAATATGTGACTTAGAGCTGGAATTGTGGCTCAGCGGTAGAGCGCTCGCCAAGCACGGGTGGGACCCGAGTTCGATTCTCAGCACCACATAAAATAAATAAAGGCATTGTGTTGTTTCCATCTACAAAAAAGAGTCAGTCTCTCTCTCTTAAAAAAAAAAAAAAAATACTGTGACTTGAACCTGAAGGTCATCTACAGAGACTGACCTCATAATGGACCAACCCCAATTTGCAGCTACTCCTTTCAGGATGCCCCATCGCTCCCAAGTGTGCCATGCTTTATAAAAAACAACAACAAGCCAGGCACCATGGTGCACACCTATAATCCCAGCAGCTCGGAGGCTGAGACAGAAGAATAGTGAGTTCAAAGCCAGCCTCAACAATTGCAATTGCGAGGTGCTAAGCAACCCAGTGAGACCCTGTCTCTAAATAAAATACAAAATAGGGCTGGGGATGTGACTCAGTGGTTGAGTGCCCCTGAATTCAATCCCTGGTACCCAAAACAGCAATATGAACAACAACAAACACTCTCAAAGACATATTACTACTAATAATAATACATAAAAACTTAAAATGTAAAAGCCAGACCATCTGGTTTGCATCCCAGTCCTGTTGTTTATAACTGTGACCTCAAGCAAGTTACCTAACCTCTCTGAAGCCTTGATTTCTTCATCTCTAAATGTATTTTCATCTCTAAAGTATAGCAAAGTGAGGCCTAAATAATTATATCCCAGTTATTGCATTACTCCTAAACAAGTAAGAATATTCTATGTTTAAGACACAAACCAAAAATTAACCCAAACTAGCATTTTTTTCCTCTGAACTACAGTGTTCTTTTCCTGGAGACATATCTGATAATAAGTGTCATCCGCATTTTGCTTGCCTAGAAAAATTCATGGTAACTTTTTTGCCTTGCAGCACCAAACTACTGTGCTGTGCCCCCTGCTGTGCGTTCTGCCTTTAATTAAAGGCATAGTCACTACAGCAGGGCTTGGAGACCCTGGGCGGAGAGGGTTTCATTAAGCAGATGCACGCAGCCAGCTTCTATGAGGGGCTCTGCAGTGAGTGGCAAGTGTCCCATAGCCATCTGGTCCCGTTAGCCTAGAAAGGGCTCGTTCTACCTCTCGGCTCGCTTTGTCCCAACCATCAGACTGTGCCAGGTGGGGAGTTTGCCCTTTGCAGGTTGGTGGCTTGACACCTGTCGTCTGTTTCTCTGATTGGAAGCTGCTGTTTTCATGGGAAGACCTAAATTCCCTTATTACCTTGGAGCCTTGTCTCTTTATTGCTCTTGCCTCCTCTGAGAGTGACGACCAGGCAGTCACCACGACCGCAGGGGTGCCAAGGAGTGCCAAGGAATGTGGGGCAGCTCCCTTCAGCTGCCTGTGTGTTTCTTGCATCCTCTGTAAGCTGGAGTCTCTCTACCCCACATCTGAGGATCACCTGGAACCTGGGGTGCCCTAGGTGTGTTTATCTGACACACATCCCACCTGGTCTGATGAATCCTATGATCGGCTCTCTTTGACATAGAAATTAAGAGAGGGAATGTTTCTTCATTTTCCTCAAACTCCAGGCAGCAGAGCCTGCGGTGACGCTGAACCTGGCTCATGTCCAAAGCCGGCATTTCTCACTGGATGGGCCTGCGCAGCCCAAACCTCTTCAGTCCTCTGTTTTGACTTCCCCGTGAGATGTGGGGACCAGTCCTAAGAGATCAGGCTCTCCTGGGCTTCCGCCTCGCTCTAGCCAGGGTCCTTCAAGGGCACCTCTGTGGCAAATCTGGGCCCTCAGCACTGCACATCGCAGTCCGGTGCAGGCAGACACCTAGGGGACTTATGAGGAAGGCTCAGGTGACCCTGCGATGTCCTGGAGCTAGCAGCCGCCCTGAACTCAAAGGTCATGATGTGGGGCTTGAGGGCCAACCTTGTAATCTACCTAGTCACATGATTTGTTTCCAAATGTGCAGCACTTACAAGCAGCAGTGGCACATGCCTGTAATTCCAGTGGCATGGCAGGGGCTGAGGCAGGAGGATCACAAGTTCAAAGCCAGCCTCAGCAACTTAGTGAGGCCCTAAGAAACTTAGTGAGACTCTGTCTCGAGATAAAAATAAGGGCTGGGATGTGGCTCAGTGGTAAAGCATCCCTGGGTTCAATCCCCAGTATCAAAACCAAAAACTTCCTACCCTTGTGTCCCAGATCCTGAAGTTCTAGAATGTGAAATAGAGTTCCCCCTTATCTCCCCTTCAGATGCCCAAATGTGAAGGGACAGGACTGCTCGCTTCCCTTTCCCTTCTAGAGTTAACCAGGCCCTTCTTAGAAGGCCTTAGCTTTTGAACCCCTGCTGGAGGGGAAGAGTTCTCATCATACATTTGTTCCCCAAATATTTATTGAACACCTACTACGTGCCAGGCACTGTGCTAGATACTAGGGTTACAGCATTGAAGGAGATGGGCACAGTCCCTGAACTTGTCCTCTGGGGAACACATATAAATGCATTTTTAGGTGGGATAGTCCTGAGAGCCAAAAAAGCATGGAACCTGGAACATCTGACATCGAAGCTGAGACCCCAAGAATGCTAGGGATCAGCAGAGTACAGCTGCAAAAAGGGTAGGGCTAGGGAGGGGACAAGGAACATCTGGGTGGAGAGAGGTGGGAAGGCTTGGAGGTGGGGGAGAGCGAGCACATGGCCTCTGATGGATGAATGTAAAGCGTTCTATGTGGCAGGATGGTACAGTGCAGGGGTCAGTAAGAGCACAGTGACATTTGTTGAGCATTGCTAGTGCATGCGTGAACTCATGCCAACCCTGATAGCAATTCCATTTTACAGATGAGAAAATCGAGTGAGAGTTGGACTTTATCCAGGATGCAGATGGAGGTCACTGAAGATCATAACAGGGAGCAGTGGCATTTTTCTGTTTTTGGAAGATCGCTCTGTGCCATGTGAAGGGTGGGTTAGAGGGAAGGACAAGAGGAACTAGGGACACATCAGGCAATTGCAGTAATCCGTTCAAGAGGTTAGGTGGCCTGAAATAAGGCAGTGGTGGTGGAGAGGAGTGGAAGATTTCACAGATACTCAGCAGGTTCTTTGAGGATGGTTTATGATTGGATTGGAGGGTAAATGAGAGCCTGAAGTTAGGGGTGGCATGGGTTTCTGCCTTGGACAACTGTCTCTGTGATAGTGTTCACTGACCTAACACAGGAAGAGGAAAATGGGGGGAGATGCTGAGCAAATGAGTTTTGTTTGGGGCTTGTTGAGTTTGAAGAGAGAAAAAAGAAAATTACTTGGGCCAGCTACAGAATCTCTCGGCATGCTAATTAGAATGTTCCCCTTTACTATCCACACAAATTTTGGTTTTTCCTCCTCTTCTTCTGGACATCATTTCCATACAATGGTTAGAAGTTGTTAAAGTTGTTCTAGTTTAGGTGGATTTGAGAAATGAGTCCCACAAAGCCCAAAGGTAAATTGTCACCCATTAAGTATGCCCACATCCATTTTTTAATAGTTTTTTTTTTTTTTTAGTTGTAGATGTACGCGATACCTTTATTTTATTTACTTATCTTTTATGTGGTGTGAGGATCAAACCCAGGGCCTCACACATGCTAGGCAAGTGCTCTACCACTGAGCTACACCCCAGCCCCAACCCTGCATCCATTTGCTGACTGGGAGAGCTTAAGTGCCGTTGCTTCAAGTCCTTTGTCGCCAATATGGACAAATTCACCTGTGAAGAATACCCAAATAAGTGCCCCCATTAGGTCACCTTGTGATGTCCTGCCTGTATTGGAACATGAAGCAGTTCCTGCTCTGGGCTGGAGAACATGCTGTTGATCATCAAGATTTTGTGGCTTCCCAGCAGAACTAAGAGTTCAGTGGTGAGCTGGGCTGTGATCCAGAGGTGGGGCTGTGGATGCATTGATGGAGGTCATGAGAGAGGGTCAAATCCCCAGGAGAAGGAGCCGAGGGAAAAATGACCCAAGACATAATCCTGAGGATAACAACATTCAAGGGGAGTAACCTGCAGAGACCAAGAAAGGGTAGAAAGCAAGAGTCAGGAG